CAAGCTCTAAACAGTCTTTTTAAAAATACATTTTCTCAGTTATGGAAAATAAGCAAAACCAGAAAAACTTTTAGAAATTTGAATGTCAGTTTATTTCGCCCTTTGTCTATGTCTGTCTATCTGTCTATCTCTCATTTCCTGTGTGTGTGTCCCTCTTTTTTACCTTTCCATTCACTTTTCCTGGTTCATTAAAATAATCTGCATTTGACATTTCGTTTTTCTTTCTTTTCCATCCCTGGCATCTCTCTCTCTCTCTCTCTCTCTCTCTCTCTCTCTCTCTCTCTCTCTCTCTCTCTCTCTCTCTCTCTCTCTCTCTCTCTCTCTCTCTCTCTCTCTATCGTATTCATTTTCATATTCATTTTCCTTTTATCATTATAATTACTACTACAACTTCAACTGTTTTTATCATCAATGGTTATCATAAATTGCCCAGAGAAGATAAAGTACATAACAAAATGATGAAGAGGTGAATCTTGATGTAATCAGTACATGAATATATACAAGAAGTCATTTATGAACAATTAATATAATACGCGCTGGGTAGGCCTGACAGACAGGCCTGTCATCAGGCACATATCAACAAAACATGATTAGGAACAAAAATAATTACTGATGTCCACTCGCGAATGGATGGGTGCGCAGCCAAGAGATTACTCAGCCTACGGAAATTTTGTACAAAGTAGAAGCGGGATCACACGTTCGACCATAAAGAAATATTTAGAAAAACAACATTCATTCAATCTCTTCGGGTCTCGACGCCACTCCATGTCTGGCTGGTTTAGCACAACTTCCACGACATCCTCAACGTTGGGCTCGTGCATGTACGGTCCAACAACTATCAACCCTCTGAAGAAGTTATACTAATGTCCTCGAACGGAATAATCCGATGGAACTTCACTGCCGCTGTAGTCTTGTAGCGAGTCCGCCATGTACAATGTACTGAATGCAGAGAATGCTGTGATCGTCGGAATTGACGTCACACATCCGGGTTCCGGGATTTTCGCGGGAAAATATAACTTGACTTCAGAAAATTTAAATAAATCAATAAATTCTATTCTATTCTATTATTTTCAGATTTTCTTTTTACTGATATTAGAGAGATGGTTTGCGAGCTATTTTTTCCCTATTTAAAATTTTCAGTTGATACTTCCCTGTAATGTTTTTCAACATAAAGTCGCTACATCACCCTGCCCTTGGTGATTGTACAGTATTTATGATTTTTCCTATTTTATAAAGCCCTTATAATACAAAAGGAGAATTGTGAACAAAATTAATGTCATCATCGTTTTGCCATTATCACTGCTATTGTCATTAATATCATTATCATTGTTATCATTACCATTATTATTATTATTATTAACACAATTATTATCATTAATATTATTGCCATTATTTTTTGTCATTATTAATATCATCGTTATTATTATCATCATTACTACAGTTTTTTTTCCAATATTATTACTATAAGCGTTTTTATTCTGGATGTTCTTATGCTCATTATTTTCGTAATCAATTTATTATTATTATCAGTGTTATTGTTGTTGGTATGATTATTAGCATTACTATTATCATAACTGTTAATGTCATTATCGTTATCATTACAATCCGAATTGTCATCATGATTTTCATCATCGTTTTTGTTGCTAATATCATTATTACTATTATTTTCATTATCATTATTGTTATTATCATCATCACTATCATCATTATTGTTATTTTTATCATTGTTATTGTTATGATTATTGTCATTATTATTAATATTAAAATTATCAATATTATCATTATTAGAATTATTATTATAATCATCATTATAATTATCAACATTTTTACCGTTGTTATCATCATCAGGTATTACCATTATTTACCATGATTATATTTTTTCTTATTATTATTGTTCTTATCATTATGATTATGATTATCTTCATCTCCATTGTTATGATCACACTTATTTGCAGTTTAATTATAGTTTCATATATTTTACAATATCGTAACTCCTGTCCTACTGTTGGCCTTTTGCTAAATGGAATTCATGTCAGGATCAAGGAGGAAGACCCTCCAAAATCTTGTCAGAAACAGTAATTACAGAATAAATGGCCATCAGTAATGATAAAAAACAATAGGGGCAATGATAACAATAATCACAACCATGGTACATGAATAAGAAATAAAATTCAGCGTTGGGTCCGCCGCGGGTACTTGATGTTAAACGTTTGGCAGCATTCTTGTATGCTATAGAGTTTTTGGCCTGTGTTAAATTGTGCATATATATTCATCTACATACAGACATTTATATATTTCTAACATGCCTATATATCTAAAAGACTCTATTCGTTTACACACACACAAGCAAACTCAAACACGCATGAGCACACAGACACACACATTGTCGCTTGAATTTAACTCTCGGTTTGTACCTATACTTTATCAGTTATATCATTTGCACAGGGTAGCACGTCCACATTTTCATTGTTGTGTTCATTGTCTCTCAGACTGCTGGTCAAGCCTTTCTGGAAGGCTAACCAGTTGGCCTTGTCAGTTTTCCATTTAGGAATGTGATGTGGTCTTTGGGCTGGACCGGCATCCATGAGGCTGGTGACTATGCCATAGTGATCACTTGTAACCGTATCATCGACACACCACCGAATTCCCTCCACCATTGTTGCAGTGGCAAAGGTAAGGTCCAGGACCCCTCCCTTCACATGCGTTGGTTCTTGGGTGTTGAGAAGAGCGATCTCTGGGAATGTGTCAAGCACCTCTGCTATATGAATGCCTGCTGCGTTCGGCCTTTTGCGGGAACTCAGAATGGATAGGTGTGCATTGAAGTCTTCCCCATGATCACTCGGTCTTGTGCTGCAGTAGCACAGACCTGGTTTAAATCTAAGCTTTCACACAGTGGTTTGCTATGTACATTGTATATTTTCAGAGGACCCCCAGGCAGATGAATCTCAACAGCAAGAGATTCAACGCCATCTCCACAGTGCGGCGGGTTGGCTATTAAGGAGCACGGGATTGCTTCTTTTACCAGGGTCATCAGCTTCAGAAGCCCCATTGCTGGTGGCATCTGATATGTATAGATCCTCGTTGATTGATTGTTTGTTCACGTACCCCAGTTTGGACAACACTGGTTTAGACTATAGTACCCTTATATTATTTTTTTTGAGTGACACATTTTCCTAGTTGCTGGTATTCATACATTTTTAATTTTAACCAAGCACTCGCTGGCAGGTTTGGCTATGTGATGAGATTTATGGCCATTCAGTGATACTTGTGCATCTGAAGAACAATAAAGTCAAGAGTGGTGTTGAGTGAGGTATTGCTGTGGAGAGGTGGGCAATAATGCTGAAGAGTAGTTATAAACGGAAGTTGCGTGATGACCTGGAATGGACTGAGTCGACTGTGAGCACTGAGGAGTCAGTTGATAAAGTAGCAATTCTCAATGCTCCTAATGAAGGTACTAAATCATCATTACTGGCCATGGTAAGGCTGGAGAATCCATCCTTTACGGGCAAGGGCTAGACAACTAAACGGAAATACCATGCCCGTGGCTCCCCCAGGCCGCATTTGTCTAATCAAAAGTCGGCCTTCCATGTTTTCAACGTAACTCTTACACCTTATGAAGTGCTAGTAGAAGAGGATACAGAAAGGTGAAGAGAAGACTGTGCAATATTAGATGAATCGAAGTCTGAGGTGCAAGACAGGGCTGACCACTGCACCGTGCTTCCAGTCTCTGCATCCTAAGCCCCCCCTGGCAACAACAGGCATGGAATGGGGTGGGGGCGTCATGGGTACCAGGGAGTGAGGGTAAGCAACAGAGCGGGTTTGGCAGCAACACTGGAGAGAATGAGGCAAAAGGCGGATATCTACCTGGCCCTAGTTCTTCCTCTTCACCATCAGTGATCCAGCGTTTCAAGGCGAGCTGTGTGTAACCTGAGTGGTTAACTATCAAAAAAGGGGATATAATCCTTTTATCCTGTGAGATCAAGATTACCAAGCTACAGCTGCCTTTGCACTGTATATTCAAAAAATAAAAATATTTGAAGTGTGAGTTTTCTTTTATCAGATATCAGCTGCGCTACCACCCTGATTTAGGTCTTCAGATTCACATTGGAGTGCAGCGATAAATAACAGCTAGTTGCCAACCCAAAGTAAATCCGCTCACTTTGCACTGACTGAGTGCGTTCTGCCGCCTTCCCTGAATTAAACAAGTGCGAAATCTCAAAATGATTCCCTGAAACAAGTTCGAATGTATACATGAATTGAACATGTTCATGCTCTGAGGGTGCATCACCCTAGCCTTGGACCTCAGCCCTCGCATCAACTAATTACACAAGGCTTTTTCTTTCTTTTTCCTTCTCTTCACCCCCTTCTGTCCGCATCCTAGTGTGGGAGCCGTGTTGAAAGGAAGAAAGACTGGCTTTATCAGTCTAAACTGCCTTCGTTCTCCGTTTGCTCTTCCCTCTTTACTCTTTTCACTACCATACCAATCAAAAGTGCTCTACAACTTTTGACATCTAACATATTTTGCCTTAATTGTTAATTTTGTCATATTTGTGAACTCATAAACGCAATAACGTTTTTAGTTATGCCGTTTTTCACTCTATCAAGCTGTGCAATATGTTATGGAAAGGATTTTATTCACTGCATTCTCTTTGACAGTGGATCAGTTATAGCAATGTTTAAAGAATACTGGAAAACGAAACGAAGAAAAAAAGGAAGTTAAAAACATTTAATAGTTGCAATTAAGGTGAACAGGAATACCCACCAATCAAGCCCGCTCACCTGGACGAGAGTAGCTGCCCCGTAGCCATAAGTCTAGCGTTCATAGAATTAATATTGTAGAACAAAGGAGGTTACATTTAGATAAATAATCCTCCCACATGATGGTCAATACCACATAAAATGTAGTAAGTCAGTTTCATAAATTTACTACAAAACTAATTTCTGATATTTCAAGGCTAAAACATAAAGCTAAAGACTATGGGAAAGCAATAAATAAAACGTGTATTGGTAGGGTTTATTGACATATCCAATAATATAAGTTTCACGGATGACAAGACTAGCACACGAGATAAATGGGAAACAAGTGATATTTAAAGTGATATTAAAAGATAAAAAGTAAGGCATCTGGTAGTCAAACAATTATAACATCATCAATTGTATTTATCATATGAATTACATACAATGAATCAAAGACATAAATTTCCAATGATAGACTAATGATAGACTATATTTTGGTGACTGGGAAGTCCAAGCTTAAAAAAAAATCTTTAAATATATATATCTATATTTTTCTTACATAACTCAAAAAGGACACCATCAACCGCTTTTAAATGAAGTCTTTTACAAACCTCGTTTTTTTTTCTTCTTAATATATACAAATGGCTATCACATATGACATTAAAGCATAATTTTATCCTGTAATTTAACATGGCGTTCACTGTACCTTGAAGGAACCATCAAGGTTTAGGACACAACACTTCTATAAAGATCAAACCCGGTGAGCTGCAAGGCTGACGAGAGAGCCTCTCGAGGAGAAGGAAGGACAGACGTTTCTGAGTCGCATGACGCGAGAGGAAACAAGGAAGGAAAGAAAACCATGCGGGTTAGATTACACTCGCGAGCCGCTCCGGAGCTCGGTCAGTTATTAAACAAAAAATAATATTTATTTCGACAATCCAAGTGACGATTTTAAAAAGCTAGATCGGAAAAGATACAAAGAAACTATATATGCGAGGACATCTGCTGCAGTGCTACTTTGTGCAGTGGCTGAAATATACAGGCAGGTTTACCAGTTGATGCGCAGTGAAGGCATTTAGCACTATTCTGAGCTAACTTCCTGTCTAGTCTCATGCTGTAAAGAATAAACTCCATTGTAAAATTGTCTTGAAAAAATACACTCAGCTCAGACTGGCTACTACTCTACCCACTACATACTGTGAACTATGGGCCAAAATACTAGCCTTGGCTTTTGCACTTGGAAACCCTTCCGGTCTATAAACTAGCTCTGGAGAGCAATACTAAAACAATCCTTCTAGAGGTTAATATACAAATTTCAAATTCCTCAAGGATCTTCATTACTATTATTGTTAATACGCATGATAACGAAATGTTTTTATTTTTTGTCTAAGAGCCCAGATCAGACGGGGTTATCTACACACTGTCAAGTGTAACGCACCTTTCTTCTCGGGAATTTTGTTCCTTCCAATAGTGTACAACTAACAATGAAAGAGCATCGAGGCTTAGTCATCTGGAATGGAAATAAGGAAGTTTAGAGAAGAGAAAGAAAAAAAAGGAACATTGTAAACAGGACACAAAAAGGTGATCAGGATATCGTGATTAAGACTTTAGGAGAAAAAAAATGTGAAGAGCTGAAGGAAAAATTGTCAGGTCACTGGTATTTGCATAAAATCTACCAAAATGCAGCTTCCACCCACGGAATTTCAGGAGCCTTAAAATCTGAGTCAATGAAAAACCTACCTCGAAATGAACTTTTCAAAAATAGAAATAGCATCTGCCTTAACGGTTTTAGATGGCAAAAACTAAAGTACAAAACAGTTTTATTCTTCATTCAAAAGACGTAGGCTTCATTTTACGACTCCAAACTTGAGAAAACAATAAATGATAGAAAAACTTTACAAGGATTGAGTATATATCTACAATGGCTGCACTACAGACAAAGACTTTAAAAGGAAGTGCGGACGTAGGGAGTCCGTCAAAGGCTGAACTTAACCTCATTAATCAAAATCAGTAAATCAATCCGTGTAACCAGACGAAAAAAATCTTAAAACAATACTGACATAACTATTTCCCTTGAATACTACGAAGCAACAAGGTTTCCAAAGGAAAAAAAAGAGAAAACGGAAGGTGAAAAAGACGGATATGAGTGAAGGGGCAAGAGTCGGGCTCGACTAATGCTACAAAGGCCTAGCCTCAGAGGAACCCATTAGAAGAAAGAACTCCCACTACCTCTAACATTTTCCTTTTTCATTTACCAATATCCTTATTACTATAATTTCCGGACTAATCCACACGAAGGGGACACTACGACTCTATGAGGGTGACGAGCATGCTCAGTAGTGCTTCCCGGCGGCGTGGAAGTTAGGAATTATCCACTCCCGCTGCCCCTTGCCCCGGCGGTAGTGCTCGCGCTGCCCGCCCCGCTCCCTCCCCCGTCTCGCCTCATGGAAGTGGTACTGGTATCTCTCCTCATCGTCGTCGTCGTCGTCATCGTCATCGAACCTAACGTACCGCCTATAGTTGAAGTGCTTCTCATAGCGCTCCCGCCCCCCATTGCCGCGCCCTCTGGCCCGGGCCGCCTCCTCCGCGCGGGCCTCGCCTCGGACCTCCCTCCGGCCGCGGGCTCTATCAAACTGCCATTCAGACTTGAGCTCTTTTTCGCGCAATGTGTTTCGGTCCCGCGCGCGCTCAAACAACCAGTCGGCCTTCTGACCCTCTCTCCGCCGGCTCGCACGCCCCTGCGCCCTTTTATCCAACCACTCC